CTCACTCGTTGGCTGTCAAATATATCAAAAACCTTTGTTTAAACTTTGCAAAGTTTTCATTGAGGTCACCCTCAAACCCCATTTGTTCTGAAAGCCCACTCTCCATGTTACTGCACTATGACTGCGCTACGTAATATTTATACACCAATGAAACAGAAACAAAAACATACAATGGTGCTTTTTTTACGATATTTCTCAGCCATATTTTTTTTATTGATTGAACTGAACTCCACGGTCTAGAATATGAAAAAAGCTGCAGTTTGATGTATGATACATCTATATTAATATCATTTTTTCATACAAAAAACCAAAAAAATATTATACCTCGTCTACCGAGTCCCCTTAATACAAAAATACCTAACAATACGCAGTTTACGGTTTAACAACTAAAAATCTTTACAAATTAACTGTCTGTAAATGTATATAAGCTGTTTATAAAGTTACAAATGATTCACATGTAGAGCGCCGTGAACAAAACTTGATCAAAAAAATTGTCGCTTTCGAAAAATACAGTTTTATGGCGGCAAAAGTTCAGCACTGCCATTCTCCATAATTCTCTTGACTGGACCGAAACTTAAATGACCGAAAGTAGGCAATTAGTTAACAGATTTATTAATTTAGCAAAAGGTTAAATGAAGCGGCACATTAATAGCTGAATTTCAAGTCGACTAGATGTAAACCATTTATTATTAACACCTTGTAGATGTTCATATTTATAAAGTTGTAAATGTTCATAAAAATCGTTACAGCAGCAATCATTATTGGGCAAAAGTGTAATTAAATATCATCATCCTCGGAGAATAGAGACAGATACTTACTTAAAATCGTCAGATTTTTTAACGTACACGCATAATCGAAAGAAATTAAACCACTAAACATTTAACTAGCTTTCATTTGAAAGACTTCGGGTTTTATGAAGTATCTGAACCATTACTCTCAGTAAAAACCAAAACAACTGAAATCGCACATGTACATTTAACTGCTAATACATCCAGTAAAATCCGCTTGAAAATTTGAAGGTTGGTATCCTTTACCGACAAAGAACTTCCGAACAGATGCGTCACGATTTTCACCGTATTCGGTAATTTATTCACAAAAGTTTTTTGCATCGCCAAGTAGAAATTTTAAATCGAGAAAACTTGGAAAATATGCCACATATGTCGATGTTAGAATTGTAGAAATATTAATGTCAAATCAGAATTGCGCATACAAAATTTGAAATAATTTCACGTTCCATGTAGCAAAACCAGATTTACTTCCACCGATGAGTAACGAACAGGAAAATATTTCTATTTGGAAGGGACGGTTTTGAACGTGCTTATTTCATTGATGAAAATTAAAACTCGTGCCTCAGATTTCTGCTTCCGCTAAACGATAGGTTTTATTTATTTATTTATTGATTAATTAATTAATTAATTAATTTACTACTAGTCCGGAATCAACTTTAAGATATGGACAAGTCAAAATGTAGGGAATCATACACAAACAGCGAAATTTATAATTTAAAAGATTTAATGATTTCCTCAATGCTATAAAAGCAATGAAGTTGTAGATAGCGTTTTAATTCTAATTTAAAATTTCTGATCGCCAATATTTTAAATTTGTCGGGTAGAACATTATATAAGTTTATTGCCATCAGTAGAGAGTGAATTTTATGAAATTTGCATATCCGTTATTTTTTGCATATAAGTCTTGATATTTAATATGTGAACGAATCATGCTAATTAAAAATGAATACAGCTATAAAAAAATTGCATATTTGCATATATTTGCCTTCTGCTGCATATTTCACGTAACGGTTGCATATTTTACATTTTTATCAATTTGTGGGCTATTTTGAAAAAAAAAAAATTCATTCTATCGGCATTTATTTAGAAAAACGAAATTTCTTGAATCATATTGCAAATATTGTCCTCAACTTCAAATAAGTAGTAAAGGTTTGGATTTTATGGTAGTAAATTCGGGCTCTAATTACTAGAGAGCGGATTTTATGAAATTTGCATATCCGTTATTTTTTGCACCTAAGTCGTGATATTTAATATGTGAACGAATCAAGCTAATTAAAAATGAATACAGCTATAAAAAAATTGCATATTTGCATATATTTGCCTTCTGCTGCATATTTCATGTAACGGGTGCATATTTTGCATTTTTATCAATTTTTGTGCTAATTTGAAAAAAAAAATGTCATTCTATCGGGATTTATCTAGAAAAACGAAATTTCATGAATAATATTGGAAATATTGTCCTGAGCTTCAAATAACTAGTAAAGGTTTGGGTTTTATGGTAGTTTGGAGAAACCACCGGGTGTTAAGCCATTCTTCCAGGTAAATTCGGGCTCTAATTACTTTTGGAAATACCGTTCATTCCCAATTAATGTATTAATGGTATGTTTTATGGTGGTCGAAGAGACGTTACCCTATTATTTTTCATCGTGAGTTTGCATTGAAAGCATTTAAAGTGATACAGTGTGTCAATATGTCGACGATAACTCTAATTTATTTATGGATTAAACCTTTTCCTGAACTTATTCTTCAAGAAGGAACTTTGTTTTGTCGCGCCTGCTCTAAACCGGTAAGGATTTTTATACATCTGTGGACGTAGTACGCACTTTTTCTACTTACAAAAGCATATTTTAGAATCACCGGAAAAACTTTTTGTTAGAATATTTCGAAAAATATTTAAAAATAAACTGTTACCAAAATAGTAATTAAATAGTCGATTACTATTATTTTTCAATTTGTTCTGTTCATATTTATTTTTTAGTATAACAATATTATCTTTAAAAATGTGATTTGTGTTAGTGAGAATTAATTAAACACTTTGCAATGTGATTTATGTATTTTTTGTAATAAAACTTATGCTCGGGACACCTGTTTTTGTAATTTGTAAATAAATTTAGTTCGGTTATTACGATTTTTTTTTAATTTTTGGAGCATATGCAACTGCATATCTCTGCATATATTAAGAAAGTTACTGCATATTTGCATAAATTTGATGCATATCATATGATCATATTTCCCAAAATTTTGCTGCATATTTTCCGCTCTCTACTAATTACTTTTGGAAATACCGTTCATTCCCAATATTTTTGTTCGTTACTTAAGCGTATTAATTGTGTTTTATGGCGGTCGAAGGGACGTAACTCTATAATTTTTCATCGTGAGTTTGCATTGAAAGCATTTAAAGCGATACAGGTGTGTCAATATGTCGACGATAACTCTAATTAATATATGGATTAAACCTTTTCCTGAACTTATTCTTCAAGAAGGAACTCTGTTTTGTCGCGCCTGCTCTAAACCGGTAAGGATTTTTATACATCTGTGGACGTAGTGCGCACTTTGTGTCTTTGTTAACTTACAATATGAAACTAAGAATTTATTGGAGTTTCTAGTGGAGTAAACATGATGAGATGAGCATTTTGGAAATTCATGGGAATGTAGATGCGCATGTAATAAAATTTGAAATAAGTATATGCGGGGCAGTGGAAAGATTTTGAATTTTTTAAAAAGCGGGCTACAAGAGGCCATTTGCGAAGTCTCCATCGCCAATATGCGAATTGCCCTTTTTTGGGCTATAAAGATCCTTATGGCGTAACCAAAATTTCCCCATAAGATTGTACCATAAGAGAGAAGCGAATCGAAATTAGAATGATAGAATGTTTAGGCAATGGAATTAGAGCAAAATATGACGAGTTCCTTCAACTGAAAAAGTACAATATTTAGTTTAGCGGCTACATGGTCGATGTGACTATCTCAAGTAAGCTTCCCATTCAATACGAAACCAAGTAGAGTAACACATTTTGGATGATCAGAAGAACTGTTGTGATGAACTTCCCGCCTTAAATTGACACTTGAAAAAAAAGTTTGAAAGGCCCGCGAAAATATTAAAAATTCAAAATTTGATCTTGGCTGTGATTGTCTAACAAAATGGAACCTACGTTGTGTGTTTTTTTTTTTTTGAAAAAACGGCGGGAAGACTCACTGCATGTGAGTAGAGAGCACAAGAAATAATAGACACAATTTTTGGGAGGAGGCTAAAAATCGCACCCCTCTCTGGGAGGAAAAGAAGCTGCGAGACGTAGCTTGCCATCTCGCATTCACTCCTCAGCCTCAAAAATCCCCTAGGGTTTATTCACCCACATGTAATACATCGGAAAGGAAACACATAAAATTATGAAAGAAAGAGACAACCACGAGTTGACAGGTATACACATATGGGAAACCGAACAAGTGCAAAAACTCTACGTTTATATTCTGAATCAATGCAAATATCTGAATATCACAAATTTAATAAAAACAAAACAAAATCTAAATTAAAGTAACTGGATGCAAATTCACAAGCTGTTACGGACGTGTGGCGTCAAATTTAAAATTATGGCAGTTAACAAGAGCATAACAAAAATACCCATACGGGCGTTTTAGCACAAGAGTTTGGTGGCTGTTCTCCCCGCGACGGTGATTCTATCTATCGCAAGCCTACTGCACAGCACATCTCCATGACAAACATGCCGTCCTTACCAGGCCGCTTCGGTCGAAAACTAGTGGTTGGATGACACGGCTATGAATGAGCTGACAGCGTCACATCGTCTAGACCGTTACCATTGACTCTATGCAAATAGTGTATCCCTTGTGCAGATGGCGCGACAAATCCCGCTAGCCCCCACTAGCAGCCGCGCCCTCCGCTTCTGCTACGTATTTCGGTGTTATTTAACCTCAATTCCATTTTAAATGTTCAACTACTATGACTCTAATATTAACGACAACTAAACAAGTGTTAAAGTTTCGAAAAAGCAATAAAGAACATATAAATTCGCCATGTAATCTTGTGAAATTTTAAACAACAAATAATTCTTATGTGAGATTAAAATTAAACATCAAATATTGATACTATGGAAACATTCATCAACAAAATATTTACAAAACAAAACTAGCAAATATTTATAAAAACAAATGATCTGGTGTGAAATAAACTGGTGCAAATAAAAATATTATGTGAGGTTAAAACTGCAGAGCATGAAATTTACTGGTTTTAAGAGCTATATTTATCATTCGTGCCTCATTTGGGGGCTGTTCCGACACCAAATCGTCGTCGTCGTTGTCACCTGGGTCATCCATGTGTTTCAGGATCTCATGTTCTGGAGGTAGTGGAAGGTTTCGTGCAACCATAAAATTGTGTAAGATTGCACACGCATTGATAATACTGCCCGCTTTCACTGGTGCATATTTAAGTACCCGTTCTTGAATTAAACACCGAAATCTGGCCTTTAATATACCGATACACCGTTCAACACATGATCTTGCACTTCGGTGTGCTATATTTAAACGATGTTCAGGGGTATCATCTGCAGGATTCCTCACTGGTGTAATAAGATATGGTTGTAATTGGTAACGACTATCACCTGAAGAATTCATTGCCATAACATTTCAAATGCAATTTTTTTAGTTACCCAAGAGCCAAGACGTTCTATCGCCCCCTGTGAATCTCTGCTCCAAAATCTGAGCAATATTGCTTTGCCACCAAATGAACGCATCATGGTTTGCACCCCCATGTGCGGCATTTATTCGAAATATTTTATTATTTGGACCACAGACCTAGGAAATTTTACTTTTAAATCCCGAAAATCATCAAAAAGAGATGATTAATATAAACGTTTTTTGAATCAAAACCTTTACGGTTTAGGTACTGGTGTTCAATATTTAATCTTGGGTTTGTTATTGCAATATGCGTGCCATCCACAAACCCAATTACACCCGGAACATTATAACGTTCCATGAATCTGTATGAATAAGGGGAATAAGATGTTTTGAAAACTTAATGGTATGCATACTTCGTTTTTATGGCAGCATGATCTTCCGGGTTTGGAAAACCGTTGAAATCATCCAAATGGGTCTCGATGGCGGCAGCTACCTCAGTTATGGCGAGGAAAATCTTAGTTTGGAACAAATTGAGGAAACAATCTTGCCCCACGCAACGCTGCTGTGTGGTACCACCCGGAGTTCTCGGCTGCTCGGCTCTCGTCGGGTGTTCGATACCACCCCCAAAATTATTCATCACCGCCCTCCTGGACGAACGGGTGGCGAACGGAGAGTCACCAACAACCCGTCAACGGGCACGCGTCGGAAAAATACATAAATATTTTCATTATCAAGTATACATAATGACATGTACATAATATCAATAAATCGTTGTTAAAAGTGCACGTCGTTCCACAATTAATAATCAATACAGTTTCCACATTGGTCCTTCTAGCCGGATTTTAATACCGCGATTGTATTATTCCGAATTGAAACGCGACGCGTGGTAGTGACGTTCCGTGGAAGCAGTGGGCAGCATTTCTGAAAAAGGAAACACCACCCCATGGAAGAAGTTTTCAACTAACAAATTCCGTGGAAGCAGTGGGCAGCATTTCTAAAAAAGGAAACAGCACCCCTTGGAAGAGGTTCATTCAGCGATCACCGTGGCAGCAGTGGGCAGCATTTCCGACAAAGGAAACACCACCCCGTGGAAGAGGTTCATTCAGCGATCTCCGTGGCAGCAGTGGACAGCATTTCCGACAAAGGAAACACCACCCCGCGGAAGAGGTTCATTCAGCAACTTCTGCGCCAGCAGTGGGCAGCATCTCCGACGAGGAAACGCCACCCCGTGGAAGAAGTCGTCATTCAGCGATTTTCGCGGCAGCAGTGGGCAGCATTTCCGACAAAGAAAACACTACCCCGCGAAAGAGGTTCATTCAGCGATTTCCGCGGCAGCAGTGGGAAGCATCTTCGACGAGGAATCACCACCCCGTGCAAAAATCTTCAACATCGGAACTAGGCCTTCAACAAGAGGGAGTCAGCACGCGTTCAGCTACACTCTTATCGTGGACGAGTGTAAACCATTGAGAGGAGAAAGGTTAGTGGCTCTTTTGTCCTAAGATTTCCCTTTTTTACCATATTCGCACGGCTAGCTTCAACGCGTATTTATGTATCTATACATTTTTAATTGGCTTTAAGGTTCATTAATTATTCAAAAATATGTCTAAATTAGATCAGCAAAAAAGCAAATTGAAAACCATCGATGATAAATTGAAACGAGTAGAGGAATATGTACAGTCATATAGTCCTGGGGTCAGTATCAATTAAAAGCACGATTATCACTTCTTGACGGAATTAGAAACGATTTTGACGAAACTCAATACCAGATAAAGCAACTTGAAAAGGGGGCCGCAGAAGCCTATGAAGGCTGCAGATCGGAATTTGAAATTCGTTATTGCGATGTTGTGTGTCTTATAAACGATATTATAGAAAAAAGTCTCGCGGTTCCGGTTCCATCGACTTCTTTATTGCTTAACCCTACGGACGGTAAAAATCCGCGAGATTCTAATGACAGCATGCAGTTGAATCTACCTGTTTTAAATATCAAATCATTTAGTGGCGATTACAAAGAATGGTTAAATTTTGAAAATTCGTTCAAATCGGTGATAGATGAGAATAAGGCGTTAAATAACCGTCAGCGATTTCAGTATTTAAAGTCTTTCTTGCGCGACGAAGCGTTGCGTACCATTGAATCTTTAGTTATTAATGATGAAAATTATAAAGAGGCATGGAGATTACTAGCTAATCGGTTCAAAAATACTTGTTTAATAGTGCAAGATCACGTAATGTCCATTTTAAATGCTCCTAGTATAAATAAGCAATCACCATCCTTATTGCGGGCTCTTGTCGATACGGTGGTGTCGAATTTAACTTCTCTAAAATCATTAGGAATAACGGTGGACAAATGGGATACATTACTTATTCCTGTCATTGTAGAAAAGTTGGATTATAGTACAAAACGTGAATGGCAACTTTCCCTCGATAAAGATGTACCCGCTTACAAACAGTTTATTGACTTTCTAGAAAAACGTTGTTTAATGTGGGAATCATTAAGTTATATGTCGAATAATAAAACATCAAATGAAGGAAAGGTTTATCATAAACAAAATAATTATTTCAACAAATCAAAGACTGTTTCTCACATAACCACTAATAAAAAACAAGCATCTTGTTCAATGTGTAGAAAATCATCTCATTTAATTTTTCAGTGTATACAGGGTGTTATTGAAAGGTACTTACAACAAAATGGACAGTTCTTCGCGAAGTCTAAGAAGTCGGAAAAACTTATTTTGTGTTATCAAAATTATAAGGGGAAAATTAACCCTTATCCAACCTTTTTAGACGCTACTGAAGGATAAATAGGTAAAATTAATTTATTTTAGTAAATCCTGGCAACTGTAACAATAAAACTTTTGTCAAGATTAAATGTTACTATAGAAACGAAAGATGATCTTTTTATCAGAGGCGTACAAGGAATTTGGACATAAATTTTAATAATTTTTATCTCTAAAAGGAGAACACTTTTACCTGAACTTTTTTTAACTTTTAGCACCTATACTTCAAGACCAATTGCCGATTTTATTTTGTACGTACCTTTCAATAACAGGCTGTAGATTTTTTGAAAATGTCAATTCCCGAGCGTATAGCGCAAGTTGAACGTCTTAAATTATGCATCAATTGTCTACGAGAAAATCATCAGGTTGCTACATGTCATACCAGTCATAAATGTCAAGCTTGTAACAAAAAACATAATACGTTAATACATACAGACGAAGCTGACGCCGATGAAAATAGTTCAGTAACTTTAAGTAATCATTCTTCTAGTTTATTAAAATGCTCAAATTCCGTTTTACTATCAACGGCTATAATTCTTATTAAAAATGCTAAAAATGATTATGAAACTTGTAGAGCTTTGTTGGATCCAGGTTCTATGTCCAATCACATAACTGAACCGATGATTAAAAAACTAAAATTGAACACAGAACAAATAAATATTCAAATTAAGGGTTTAAATGGAGCGGCAAGTTCTTCTCAAAAGCAAGTTTTAGATGTGGGTATAAAATCTATTTATAATGCGTACTCAACAAAAATAAATTGCATCGTGGTGAACAAAATAACCGAAAATCTTCCGTTAGTGTCTATCAACCCCTCATCTTTGGAAATTCCCAAAACCATAAAATTAGCAGATCCCAAGTTTTTCGAATCGGGTACAACAGATCTTTTGATAGGAGCCGGCCTTTTTTGGAATTTACTTTGCATAGGCCAATTGTCCTCGCCGGGCAGTGGGTTAATATTTCAAAAAACACATTTAGGGTTTATTGTGGGAGGCCCTCTCGGTACCATAAACTTGCCAACAAATTTTACAACATGCAATATTTCCATATCCGGACCCGACCCCGGCTTAGAAATACAGGCAAAAAAGATTTGGGAATTGGAAAAACCAGTAATTACGGCGGATTACGATAAGAATGCGTCCAACGAAGAAGAAATTCTTTGTGAAACCCACTTCCGGGAAACTGTCCAACGGGACCATGAAGGGCGATTTATTGTACGGTTGCCCATTAAAAATAACAAAATAAATATTGGTAATTCACGAAATGCAGCTCTCAAACGCTTTTTTAGTCTTGAAAGGAATTTGATCAAAAACCCACACGTTAAAACAAATTATGTAGATTTCATGTTAGAGTACCAAAATTTAAATCATATGGAATATTTAAGCGAACCACCCAACGACAACAATTGCGTTTATTTGCCTCACCACGCCGTGCAAAAGGAGTCTAGTACGACAACAAAATTAAGAGTTGTTTTTGACGCGTCGGCAAAAACTTCAAATAAACAAAGTCTAAACGATAATTTGCTAGCTGGGGCGGTATTACAACAAGACCTATTTTCAATAATAGTACGCTTTAGAACATTTCAGTACGTGTTAAACGCTGATATAGCGAAAATGTATCGTCAGATTAAGATACATCCCAACGATACGAATTATCAATTAGTTCTTTGGCGGAATCATCCATCCGAACCACTAAATACGTATCGTCTTTTGACACTAACATATGGTACTAAACCGGCAAGTTTTATTGCTACGCGGTGTTTGAAGGAGTTAGCTGATCAAAATCAAGCTAGGTACCCTGTCGCGAGCGAAATCATTCGTCGAGATTTTTATATGGACGACCTTTTAACCGGGGCTGACTCGATCGAAGATTTAACTGAAATAAAAAATGATGTAACGGCCATATTGAAACAGGGTCAATTTGAACTGCGAAAATTTCAGTCAAACGAACTAAGTGTTGTATCTAATAATGATAATTTCCATGATTCGAACGTACAATTGCATAAGGATAAATTTACAAAAATTTTAGGTTTGTGTTGGAACTCTACCGTCGATAATTTAAGTTACGAGATTATACTGAAAAATATACCTAATAAAGTAACCAAACGTGCCATACTTTCGGTAACGGCCCAAATATTTGATCCGTTAGGGTTGCTCGGCCCCATCATAATGCATGCTAAATTAATTTTGCAACGTTTATGGTCGCTGAAACTGGGTTGGGATGAATCAGTACCTGCCGATATATATACGTCTTGGATTACCTTTTTAAGCAGCTTGAACCATATACGTCAAATTAAAGTGCCGAGAAAAATTATACCCGTCGCATTTTCCGACCTTATCGAAATCCACGGTTTTTGTGACGCTTCCCAGCACGGTTATGGGACAGTGTTACATTTAAGAACTCGTAACCCAAATAATAATAATTACGAAGTCAATTTAATATGTGCAAAATCAAGAGTAGCGCCTTTACGCGATACAACCTTGCCACGTCTCGAAGTTTGTGGCGCTTTACTGCTATCACGGCTAGTAAAAGGGGTACGACATGCTTTAAATTTAAATATCTCACGACAATATTTATGGTGCGATTCTAGTATAGTACTTGCATGAATAAACACGCAGTCGAAATCACTGAAAACATTTGTGGCAAATAGGGTCTCTGAAATAAACACACTAACAGAAGTTTCTGATTGGAAATATATCTGTGGGGAACTTAATCCAGCAGACATATTAAGTCGAGGGGCATCACCCATCAAACTATCTAGAAACGAATCGTGGTTTAAGGGTCCCCCATTTTTGAGCAAAAACGAAAGGCAACGGCCAATTTCGAAAGTAAACCTATCTAACATTGATACACCGGAAATTCGAGTTGTTTTAACAGTTAGCACTGCAAGGGCAGAATTACCAATCTTTACTCGATTTTCAAGTTTCAGTAAATTACAACGTGTTTTCGCTTGGGCTCTCCGATTCATAAGTAATTGCAAAAACATAAATAACAGGAATATCGAAGCTTTCTTAACGTCCGAAGAATTAAAAGAGGCAAATTATAAAATAATGCGGTTAATACAAAAAAATGAATTTGTCGAAGAGTTAAAGATTTTAGGCGAAAATAAGGTGCTTTCGAAAAATTCAAGATTATTAGCGCTCAGTCCATTCGTTGATCAAACCGGGCTTATAAGAGTGGGAGGTAGGTTACAAAAGGCATCTCTTATTGATATCAAACATCCGATTATCTTATCGAAAAACCACCACGTTACTAATTTATTGGTCAAATATGAACACGAACGGCAATTGCATGCTGGTCCACAAGCAACATTGGCAGCACTTCGCCAAAGGTATTGGATAATTTCGAGAAGATGTACAGTACGCAAAATATTACATCGTTGTCTGAATTGTTTCAAGGTTAACCCGACCGTACCTAACCCCAAAGTGGGCGATTTACCAAAAGACAGGGTCCAATTTGGCAGACCGTTCTTATCAGTAGGAATAGATTATGCCGGTCGGATGTGGATTAGGGAATCGCGAGGCCGCGGGAAACGTTTAGCCAAAGCATATATAGCTATATTTGTGTGTTTCGCCACGAAGGCTATTCATATTGAATTTGTTCCGGACTTAACAACTAGCGAATTTCTGACCGCTCTTCGCCGATTCATTGGTCGACGCGGACACCCTCGCGATATCTATACTGACAACGGGACTAACTTTGTAGGGGCACGTAACGTCCTGAAAGAATTATTTCATTTCTTTAACAACGCAAACAAAAGTATTATAGCTAGTCAGGCCGCCCAAATGGGTATTAAATGGCATTTCTTACCTCCCAAATCCCCGCACATGGGAGGATTATGGGAAATTAACGTAAAGGCGGTAAAAACTCATTTGAGAAAAACAGTGGGCAACGCCCATCTGACTTTTAGCGGAATGTCCACACTTTTAATACGCATTGAAGCATGTTTAAATTCAAGACCTTTGACACCCTTACCGTCCGATCCCAACGACCTGAGCATCCTGACACCCGGTCACTTCCTCATCGGAGAGCCATTAACTTCCTTTCCAGAATACGATGTGACGGAGGTGCCAATTAATAAACTGTCCCGATGGCAATTGGTAGAAAAAATTCGTACGCATTTTTGGCGACGCTGGAGTCGCGAGTACCTAACGCAACTGCAATCAAGATCCAAATGGCAGAAACAGCAAGACCACCCGGACGCGCTAGCTGGGTCACTCGCGCTCATGATGGAAAACCGTTCATGGACTCACCAAACGCGCCCTATGTAAAGTGTGCGTTTTACCTATAGACACAAATTAGTGCGCGATCAATTGACATTACTTATGATGCGAACTGACTATTATAGGTGTTTTTCACGTTTAGACATTTTGGTACAATTTTCAATTTTCCAGGCTACCCTTCTAGGCCAGCCAGTCGTAATATGTTGAAGGACGCACCTTCAAGAGGGGAAGTCATGTGTGGTACCACCCGGAGTTCTCGGCTGCTCGGCTCTCGTCGGGTGTTCGGTGCCACCCCCAAAATTATTCATCACCGCCCTCCTGGACGAACGGGTGGCGGACGGAGGGTCACCCGTCAACGGGCACGCGTCGCAAAAATACATAAATATTTTCATTATCAAGTATACATAATGACATGTACATAATATCAATAAATCGTTGTTAAAAGTGCACGTCGTTCCACAATTAATAATCACTACAGTTTCCGCACTGCTAACTACCGCTAGCGAAAAACCTAATTGCAGCCAAAATTCAGTGCGGCTTAGAAGTCTTGTGTACTCCTGCTCCAAGGATTAAATGTAGCTGCAATAACTCCAACAGTTCTGTCATCGTGGCTCTATTAAACCGGGATAACTCTATAAAACTGGACATATTTATTTGTTTGTTAAATAATAATAGTTAAATAAAACATTAATAATTACCGATCGTCGTTTTCTTCCCTCATCCGCCTTTTTAAACGTCTCAAATAATTATTTTCTTCTCTCTCGTACTCAAGAACAGACCAAAAATAGAGCCATTTTGTTTAAACTTCAAAAAAGCAAGTTCAATTTGAATTTGAGACCGAAATGTCATGAAATTCGAGACAGTTAAGTTGGTAACACTTCAAAAATACATGCGGGAACACCGCACAATTTTATCGCTCGGCGCGAACTGTCAACCCACTTATCACTTCGTTTGTGAAAAGAAACAAAATGCCAATTTGACTGACAAGTGAAAAGCGTAGGTGAAAACTTCTCGTTCGTGATAAATTATCACTAGAGAAACAAAATCGCACCCCAGGGGTGCGATTTTGTTTCTCGTGAAAAACGAGCGAAGTGAGAAAATATCACTTCACATGTCAAATGTATCACTTGTCACCCTAAAAGCGATTTTGTTTCGCCATTTTATCACTTCATCAGTGAAAACTTGGGTGGGATTTTGTTTCTATAACGAGAAAATATCAGGGGTGGGATTTTGTTTCTCGATCGAAAAAAAATCGATAGCGATAAATCTCGTTTGCTGATTGGTTGGGATGCTACATTTTTGTCACATTTCTCGATTCTGTCACGAAATCAAGTCTTCATGGAGTGATGTTTTCTCGATAGCTCTGAGTGAAGTGATGAATTTTGGAGACATGACTTCGAAATTTATGTCAAAATAGAACTTCAAAATCGTAATTCTGAGTTATGAGTTCTTAACATTAAGGTAATTGTAAACTTTTGAGCATTTAATAAGCTTATATGCAAAGAATAAATGCAAACTTGTGCATTTAAAAGCTACGCAATGACATTTGTCGCAGTGATAATTTATCACTTCGATCGAGAAACAAAATCGCACCCCACTGTACCGATAAACTGTGGTCGTCTTTTTCTTTCGCATCTGAAATTTGTATTTTGGTCCTTGTCATTTATTGCTTCGTATCGTATCGGTAGAAACAAAATCGTACCCCAGATCACGCCATCATACCCTAGCGATAAATCCATGATAACCCCTATATATCATATAGATATTTAACCTCAAATTTTTGACGGCATATGCGTCATTGGTAGGATTTTGCTAGCTGGCAGTTTTTTGAAAAGATAAGCGACTAATTTTTAAGGAAGTTGTTGAGGTAATAATAATTAATAATACTTTTATTCATAACAGAATTATTATCACTAATACTCACGTATTTTATTAAAAGAAAAAAACAAAGTTATGCACTGTAACATGCGTTACGTTTTCCTTTGTTGGGCCGGGAAAAGAATAGTCCATCAGCCTAGTCCTGCTTGAGGTAAAAGTCCTCTAATGGACCTGTTTCTTCGGTCCTTTCTCCTTTCTTCATATCATAGTTTTTCTTTTACCGATGGTAAAATTTTAGCGTAGTTGATGCTATAATCATCCAGGTAGTGCTGGCTTCCTCAGGCTTCACCTGAAAATTATGCATTTTTTTTGTCGTTTCAACCCTTTCCAGCATTTATCTTTTTGCCGTAGTGCGTTTAGTTTTAATAACCAAAATATTATTTTCATCATCGTAGCTCCCTGTTTTGAGCGAGTACGTTTCTATCAAGTATCGTTTTTAATTATCGACGACACCTTCGCTACGTCAGAGTGACGAGGTCCCCCATTTTTAAGGCGACTTCCGGTTAGCGTCGTCTTCCGTCACTCCTGGAAAAATCAGTAAGACCCGGTTCACCACTCTGAAAATTTTCTTGCCGTCTCTTGGTTATTTTTCCACCAGGTGCTATGCTTTGTCTTGGCGAATTCTAATTGCTAATCACGAATCCATGTCTCAGTCCCTTCTGGTTTACGTGTAAGCCGCTGGGCAGTGGTCACCTCCGACAGCGCATTGGTCATCTTAATATCTACCCCAGAGATTTCTTAGTAACCTAGATACGATGATCCTATGCAAAAGCGAACATACGTTCTTGGCCAACATGTACACTATGCGTTTTGCTTTCCATCTTCTTTGACAGCATGGGAACGCAGGAGTATGATTTTGTAGGTCTTTGTTTAAACCTAGCAATTTACGATTTTGCGCAAGTCGGTTCTTAATTCATACAATCGCCGGTGTTGTGTGTTTGCAAGGTTAATTTATAAAGGAGAAGGTTGGAGTATAAGCGAGCATTTAGGCAATTCGGTTTACAGGGGTGAGGGGCAGCAAAGCACGTTGTGACGTCAGCGCATCAGCTGTCAGCTGTCGTATGTCGAACTTGTTGAAGTGTTCGACATTTGACAGGATTATTATAATAAGAGTAATTTAATTATTCATAGAGTTTCTGCTTAGAGTAATTATTAATTATGCCGGGGCACTATTGTGCAGTGCACAGCTGTAATAACAAAAGCAAGGTAAATATTTACAATAATAATTTGCAATACATATAGAAATTGAACTAACTATAAGGAATTAAGGGCATGGATAAAGAAAATTCTGCATCAATCTCATTCCACTTGTTTCCTAAAGACAAGACAGTAAGGGATATTTGGGAAAAATTTTGTCAGCGAAGCAAAAATTGGAAACCAAAATGTTCTTCCACAATTTGTTCAGCACATTTTTCTGCAGATGATTTCTACATAAAATACAAAAAAGAGATGTACAGCCAAATTCCACATAAAATGAGACTTAAACCAGGAGGTGAGTGATAAATTTTATTGAACCTGCCATTTAATAAATTCTAAAAAATTGTAGCAATACCTGAAAAATATGTTCTGACTGAAAAGTGTCGTGACAGTACACAAGTTGGCATCTTTGAACAAAATGGTTGTTTGGCAAATGAAGATCAACTTGGTATCTTTGAACAGAATGGTTCAATGGAAGATGAAGATAAAGCTAAGTTGCAAAAAAAGGTAGCAGAATTGGAAGAGAACATTTCACAGTTAAATGGCTCTAATAATAATTTGGTCCAAACTATACAAGAGCAAGACCAATACATTACAAAGCTGGAAAAAAAAATTTCTGTGTTGGAAAATGAAATACAGACACTGCAGGTGTTGAATAAGCAAGTAAATGTTGTTGAACTTGCAAAGAAATTTGATCCTGTTTTAACTGAAAATCAAATTAATTTAATTTTAAAAAAGAAGTTAAGAGTGACCTGGACAAAAGAAGAAATAGCAAGAGCATTTACTTTACGGTATTTCAGCAAGAAAGCATACTGTTTTATGAGAAATGAAGGCTATCCTTTACCAAATTTAAAGACTTTGCAATATTATGCCAGAAAAATTAATCTGAGAAATGGGATATTGCACGATATTTTAAACTTAATGAATGTCATGGGGAAGGACCTTTCAGAAACAGAAAAGGCCACTGTCATAATGTATGATGAAATAAAGGTAAAGGCCTTATATGAATATGATGTAAAGTTCGATGAAATCAAAGGCCCACATAATTATCTACAAGTGGTAATTGCTAGAGGGCTCTATAGTAATTGGAAACAAGTGATTTTTGTCGACTTTGACACCAATATGACTACTACATTAGTGCACAACATCGTAAGATCTCTTCATGAAATAAATTATAATGTGGTTGCCTTTGTTAGTGACTGCGGTGGTGCAAATCAAGGTGTTATACGTGATTTGGGGATAAATATGGATAAAGTCTATTTTGATCATCCCATAACTGGGAAAAAAATTTGTTATTTTCCAGATGCGCCACACATTTTAAAATTAATTAGAAACTGGCTTCTCGATACAGGTAAATTGACTATGTAAATGATATTGCAGCTAATTTTTCAATTGTTTTAGGTTTTGTACTTGAATCTGATGTAACCATTACTAAAGATCCATTAGTAAAACTTATAGAAAAGAATAAAAGTGACGTTAGTTCCCTATTTAAAGTAAGGGAGAAACACATAACAGTTACTGGTACTGCAAGACAAAATGTGCCTTTGGCAGCACAGTTATTGTCTCATACAACTGCTGTTGCCCTAGTCCGATATTGTATTGGAAATAAGGAAGCAAAATAGTTATCAGAATTTATAGAACATGTCAATGACTGGTTCGACATAATGAATTCGAGGAACTTAAATGAAACCATTAAATTTAAAAAACCATACATGAACATGGCTTCTCCAAGAGAACGATTGGATGAAATTTATGCAACTTTTTCGTCATTGCGATGTCAAGGGAAAAAACAATTGCAAGTCTTTCAAAAAGCTCTGCTGATATCAATATCATCACTAAAAACACTATACAGTGAAATGAAAGATTTGTATGGAACAAATTTTTGCTGACTCACAAGTTAAACCAGGACACGTTAGAAAGCTTGTTTAGTCAGCTAAGGACTAGAGGTGGTATGGATGATCATCCTACACCATTAAACGTCATTTATAGATTAAGAATAATTATACTTGGTAAAAATGTATTTTATTAAATAAGAGACATGTTATAATAATATGTTATTTTAGGAAAAACGCCATCTGCTGTTAAAGAAGCAACGAATACCATTGTGCAAGAGAACAGTGATGAATTTATCTCTGGAAAAATATTAAAAATCGCAGATGTTCCAATAAATGACAAACATACAGAACTAACTACAGACTGGAGTGATATTGATGGTGTAGGAAGTATAAGCAGCACAACTACATCAACGTCCTCAGTGGGACATAAGCTTCAAAAAGACGGTCTTGAATATCTAACAGGTTGGATTGCCAAAAAATTTTCAAAACAATACCCCTCACTCGGCCAGTATTCTTATATGCTTCGTCAAGGTGTGGAACATGATTATGCACTGCCATCTTGGGTTAATCATGTATCCTATGGAGGCTTAACAGAGGCATCAGATTACCTGAAATCTGAAACCAAAATTTTGAATCGCCGATTCAAGACGATTCATCGCCGTAACAAGTTTCGTTACAAAAATTCGGTAGTAACTAGGATGACAAATGTCTTGAAAAACCTGGTTACTTTACCAGAAGAAGTTACAAGGACATTTCTTAAGCAGCGGACGTTGATAAGAATAAAATATTTAAATATTAAGTGTAACAAGTCTAACAAGACCTGTAATAAATTAAAAAAATTAGTTAAAATTGTTAGAAACAATAACAATTGAAATATATTTTACATTGTTTTACGTGCTGTCATATTTTTCTTAATTTTCCCATAGTTTGTGAAGGTATTTCTCTGTCCGGCAAATAAAACAGTCAAATTACAGTGAAAAAACCATGTTCCCTATGCTTTTCCGTTTCTATTGAACGCGACGGTATTTTATGGAAAATCATTCGATTTTTAAATTTCCCGCTGTTACAGCACCTTTTGACGTCATATTAATGGCGGCATATACTCCAACCTTCTCCTTTATAAATTAACCTTGGTGTGTTTGTTAGTTTGTTCTAAGAGATTTCTTAGGTTATAAGATTTATGTCACGGTTATAAGTTTAAATTGCATAGAATTTCTAAAAACAGGTTACAGAATGTGTGTTGTATGCAAAGAAAGATCTAATAATTCTTTTGTTTCGAAAAAATATTACAAAGATTTTTAATAATCCCGACATGAACAATCATTGCATTTCTCAGGGATTACTAGATAATCACAAAATACAATTGATGAAGGCAATAGCGCAAATGTATTTAAATGTCCGCTTGCATCGCGAAGCGAAACTGGTAAATTTTGTTTCAGAACAGGCGAAAATAAGAAGTAAATTACTAAAATGCATTTTATTTAATAATGAGTAACTAAGATTACATTAATCACCAATATTTAATAATAATGTTAATAAATTTATACCACAGCTGTACGTCTTTTTTCTTTTTCGTTTTAAGCTCTCGACATTGTGCATGCAAATAAATACAATACGATTCTCTATTTATGTTGGAAACGTTCGTGGCAACAAAAACTTTTGACTATAAGAAAATTGTATTATGTCATTTTTCAAGAGTTTCGCCGGTGTGAATGATAAAGAAAAAGTACGAAAAAAGGGAAGTCGACAGTCAAATTTATTCCAACGATCTTGTCCGTGTAATATCTTAACATTACAAATCATTTTGGAGATTGCTTAGAAACTTTTCGTTTGCCACTTGTTAAAAAACTCGAGTTATGATTCTCTTTTATACCATTTTAAATCAGTGCGCCAAATTATCAACCAATGTTAACAGTCGCTAGAATTAGAAGAAGAAAACACTAGTATGTAGTGCACATTACGAGTAAGAGAAAGACAGAGAACTGAAAGTATGTCGACACTATTTTCATACATGTTGTTCCACACTTTGCTGCGCATAGCCGTATCTAGGTTACTAAGAAATCTCTGATCTACCCCTACCTTTGAGACGATTCTTGGTTTTTGAGACTTTTCCGGAGACATTTTTCGGAGAGTGTTCACGGTGGTGAAAACTTCTGTCATTCTTGCGCACCAAATTTTTCGTTGCTTGGAAACCCTCAGCAGCCACTTGAGGTAATTAATAAAACTGTCTTTTCCGTCTAAGTGAACCGCTTGGAAATTTCAGGGTTTTTCTTTTTCTTGTCTGGTACCGTGTGCGACGTTGAACCAAGCCAAGATTTTTGACGACACCATCTTGAAGGCGGCACGGCTTCTCGGTTGACTTTTGAGGCTCTCGAATTTGAGGACGGCCTGGAACATTTCCGTCGGCACACCAGAATCATTAACCGCTAATCGGAACATCACCATCTTTGGAAACGCCCAAGGTCAGATTTTTCCAATCTTTGAATTTGCGCCCTACACGTCAAATATAGTTTCATCGCCCTTCAGGCACTATTCTAAAGAAGTATTCTTAGTTTTAATTAATTCGCTGTAAACCAAGCTTACGTAAGCGTGGCCTGTAATTGTGTCGAAATAAGTAGTGTGAATAATTTAATCTCATTTTTTTTTCTCTAATTTGATAAATCGGTTGTCCCTTACTTATGTAATTTTTTTCCAATAGTTTGAAACTAAATTGGTAGTTGTTAGTTTCATAAAACATTTTATTTACTAACTACCTGGCGCCCACTAATCAGTCTCCCCCTTACATCCTTTCAATTTCAATAAAATCGACTGCAAAGAGGTTGAATTTCGAGAGAACCTGCGACCTGCCGCCGAAACAACTGAGTGCCGTACGCAGTGGCCGATTTTCAAAATTGGAAACGGTGCAGCACTTAAACATTTATTTCCCCAAAAAGCCATAATTCCCATCCGATTTAGATGGAAAAGAAACGCCTCGGAAGGCCTAATAAGCATTCACGTTCGGCAGAAGTAGCTGACAGAATTTGAGCCGTTAGTTCAGTACTTTGCCGATAGGAGCGCCACTAAAATTTACGGAAACGACTTTCCAAGTAAAACCCTTATGGCCTGGTCTACCATAAGCTGATTGTTAGCGTTCTCGGCTGATTTTTCTAATTTATGGCAAGGAACTCAGTTTTATAACAAGCCGCCAGGACCGGTAGTAGTAATCTATTGTTAAGGAAGTTAACTTTTACGCAATGAGGTACTATCATAAAATCGAATTAAAACTGGGGAACTATAATATTTTTACTCTACTCAGAATCCTGAATTCAATACACATGATTACCAAAAATTCATTGTAATATTATTGTTAATATATATTTTGCTTTGTTAATTAATAAATCTATATATATATATAAAAATCAATTGCTGTTCGTTAGTCTCGCTAAAACTCGAGAACGGCTGAACGGATTTATCTTATCTTGGTTTTGAAATGTCCGTGGAGGTCTAGGGAAGGTTTAAAAGGTGAGAAAAATTCGAATAATTGCCGGTAAAACCCTAAAAACAGCACTTTTCTTCTTGACAACCAAGTGACAATCTTTTATTTCTAAAAAGACAAAAGACATCAAATGTTTCACAGCTCAGAACATGTTGTTTTGGAAAATAGAATTTCTGTTTTTAGTATTTTTGTTTCTCGCCGTTTAAACCTTCTCTGAGTTTCCATAAATATTTCAAGACCAAACTCTCAGCTAAAAGATAAAAAAATTCAAAAAATTTTGCATGGGAATCGCGACTTCGAATTAATTTGAATTGTTGGCGTTCCTCACGGACCTGTCGTCTAACTGACGTGTCATACAAAACTAATTCTTCCGTGCGATTGTGAAAAGTATATTGCATTTCAAGTCGTTCTTTGTTTTTTCGTAAAAAAAAAACGTCGTTTATTTTAAGAAAAGTCTTGGTTAAAGTGAATTTAGTTACACATTGCGAAAGTGTCTTATTAATTTTGATCTGCCATTCTATTTACCTATATTCACTTTGTTGGTTTCGACAAAACCTCAAACTTTACCGTTATTCGAGGATTTAATTTGAAGTTTTCAATATTTTAAAATTCTCAAGACAAAATTTACAGATTTGATTGACTGTGCA